AGAGAGAGAGAGAGAGAGAGAGAGATTATTTGGTATCTTATATTTTTATTAATAAGAAAATCGACTTTTCTTCAATGTATTAAAGCACACATACACGTAACGTAAGTGACGCCAAGTTCCCAAATAAAACGTGAAAAAAAGAATGCATTTCATTTCATATTACAAAGTGTATTCGTGCTACCAGGGTCTCCACATCGGGTCACGATCGTCCACGCGCTCGACGTCGATTTCTTCATCGTCATCGGCGTTAATGTCTTGCGGATCGTTCGTTTTATTTCTCATCGTTGTTGTCGTCGTTGTCATCGTCGGCTGTCGCCGGTCCCTCAGGCTCTTCGATTTGGCACTGCAATTTACGGTTAATTTCTCACTCCCATTAACGAGCGACATCGAGGCGCGGGATCGAGGCATGGAGGAAACGGTTGTCGCCGACGCGCCTGCATCGCGGACAGTTTTATCGGCGTGAGGCGTGGATCTTATCGGCGACGTGTTTGTGGAGAGAATCGCCGAGTCAATTTCGACAGAGGTGCCGACGTCGCAAGGTGCTACGATGTTGGCGATGCGATCCAGATTGGCCAGGGTAGGCGATAACAGGTTGGCTTTCGGCTGAGGAGAACACATTTTTTTGTCGTCATTATGGCGATCGTTAACACTCGGCGATCATAAATCTTTTGCGACTCGGGCTATTTCCGCAACCTGCTCACGATAATATTCTTTTCACCATTTTTGGGCATAGGTTCGCGAGAGTAAAAGTGTAGCTTCATTCATTCGTTTCCTATAATTTGGAATTAATATCTCCTACATCATACCTTACCCGGACTCTTTTACTATTTTTAATAAAACGATATGATTTTGCAAAATTGTACAGATAAATAAGGAAAATGATAGGTAAAAATGTAGTAAAAAATTACTAAAAAAAATATACTTAATATCATATCATAATTTACGAACAAGGTGCGAAGAACATTCAAGTTTTCGCAATTTATAAGTGAGAATACGTAAGTGATCGATTAATTATAACAATTATTACAGTTTTCGTAATTTTTACGCTTTAATCATCAGTTGCGGATGATGCAATAAGGCACACAATTTTATCACGTATAATTATAATAAATTGCAGGTTACACGTCAGTCTATTGTCCAGTAACGCGGAGTCGATGCAATGACACGTTACATGGGGCGTATACTTTGAATTTCATAAACACGAATAATTAGTATTGACGAATCAGGCCATACGACAAACGACGCGACACGTCACATTTCATTGAAAAGCGAAATGCCGCAATTAAAAACCTCCTTTTCCCTTTTCTGTCGTGCCTGGAAATGCCATTACCTTCGATGCGAGAATTTACGAGATCGAGGAGGAAATCGCGGATGTACTCTTTATCGGATCTCAAAACTCTCCCGTCTTCTTGTCGCTTTCCCTTCGTGGCTGGGCCATTAATAATTACCCACAGATCGAATACGATAATTACCGGTGAATTTGTTTGCCGGCCCGTTTGGAGACCAGCTGCGAGGTGTCTCGCCAGTCTCTCCGCGGCTTCACCTGGAAGCGACGAGAGAAATCTGCAGGCTTCCGCCGCACAATGCCCAAATCCGGACTGCCAACGGCTCTCCGCGGAAATTTCGTCGCCGCTCGCAATCGTCGCCGATAATCCGGAGGACCGCGAAGCCTGCAACTTCTGCAGATGACGCACCGTCAGCTCGAGAATGTCCGCCTTCTCCAGCTTGCTAATGTTCTCCCCCTCGGTCTACAAATCATTGCAATTTCGCCAGACTTGTCATTTTACGGGAGAGGAATTAGTATTAAATCAAGACTAAATATTCAAGAATGTTATAATCCTTTTAGAAAAAAAAATTTAATCCTGATTTGAATTTATACCGACGTAAGTATAGATATTTTCATATAAATCTTCATATAAAAGATTTTTACTCTTGAATTGAACAAAAGTAATACAAATTTCAATCAAATCAAGGTTAAAATTTTTAATATTATAATATTCTTGCTTGTATATAAGAATTTAATTTGATTTTCGAGGCTGATTTTTTTCTGTGTACATACTTCAATTTTCCTAAAATAAAATCGGATTAAAAAAAAAAATAATCATGCATATAATTTTAGATCGAAAGGAAGCATTTGTTACGCCGCAAATATTTGTTGTGCAAAATACAACAAATATTAATTCTGACAATTTTATAATCGATTGTGTGTTTCCAATCACCTTTCAAATTACGATCGAACGTACAACGATCATTATACTCGATCGGGGTCTAATGTTCGTTGACCATACAATTTCGCGCATCTTTGCCATGAAGTCAATTCTATTCGGTTTCCATCGGTCACTAGTCACTCATCGGCCATCCGCACTAAGTACGGCGGAACGATTCCGCAAAAAAGAACATCTCGAGTTTTTTCGCGCTAGAAGAGAGAGATTGCCATTAAGATGGTATCGTTACCTGGCTCGTAACGCTCGCAGGGCAGTTTACTTTACGTCACTCGATCGCACGTCGCAAAAAGAAAGAGCGAAGAACGAGCGATCTCTAAAGGATCGTGGCCACGACGGCGCCTGAGCGTGGAGGCTTTACGCTCGCCAGCTCGCGACGTTTTGCGAGAAGAAGAATAGCATCCGGTCGGCGGGCATTAAGCCGTACGAAAACGTGCCGATCGGACCGGGTAATGTGCCGTTGGAAAATTAGCATGGTGAAATCAGCGGTGCCTTTCACGCTGATTCAGCGAATTACGCGCGAACGTAGGTTTCACGCGCGTGAGTGTTGGAAACCGCGCGGAAAGACGGTATCGACAAATTACCATCGGTGGCGAGGCACGTTGTAGAGAATAGCTATTTAAAGCGTAATACACAGGAACTATGTGATATCGCTACTTTAATGCGCCATCATACCTCGCCGTTTTCGAGCGCAAGGAAAATTCTTTAGAGATACCACCCTCTTCCTCTTGTTAGAAATTAGAAAATTATTTGCGAGCAAAATTAAAATTAAAATAGCGCAAAGTCCAAAGTGCATCAAAAAGTTCTTTTGTAATTATCCTGGTGCAATTTTATATTTATTTCGCGGTAATTTTATAGAGGAAATTGAACAGCAAAGGTTGCTCTATCTCACACATATTCGACGCTAGGCAAGTCCGTCTAATTCCTCTCAGCTGTTTATCCAGATCGCGTTATGACGTTATCGCGGACTGAGAATCGTGCGCGGTCATGGTTAACGTTGAACGCGCGGCGTAAATAGGCGAACGAAGCGCAACACTGGGATGCAATTATCGGGGGAGATTAAGCGGCGATAATGAGGACATTTAAATATTCACATAAAGCGCACGTAAACGCGATCGTTCCGCATGACTGCGCACGGAATATCATTTTGTTGACACTCGCTCACCGGGTGCAGGTTCCCACGCTCTGGGAATATTTAAAAGCAAAATCGCCTGCACGCGTAGTTGCGGCCGGAGAATGCGTTTCCTGCTAGGCGCGATCCGTAAAATTGCGGCAGGGGCGGGTGACGTGCGAGGAAAGAGAGAGAGAGAGAGAGAGAGAGAGAGAGAGAGAGCACTCGATATCATAAATAGAGCCGGTGGGAGTCGAGCAAGAAACACAGGTTTCCTACGAAGGCTCGCCCAACGCGCGGGGAGGAAAGGAAAAAAAAAGAGCATAGCACGTGCTCGCTGAACCACACAACGGTATATCGGCGCAGCCCATGAGTGTTGCGTTCAGAAATGTCGCCACTTCTTCGCGCCGCTAAACAATTTATCCCCGATCGTGCGAAAGAAGGGGGAAAAAAAGGATAGCGCGCAGTGAAAGTTAATTGCCACGTGTAAAAAAAAAAGTCGCGAGAAATCGCGTACCATACTATTATTACGTTCGACTGCGTCTTACGTGCGTAACGCGTAACAACCTAACATTAATCTGTTCGAAACGTTAATTTGAGGATATACAAGAAAGATTACACCGAACACACCTGACATTTATAGACATTTTTTTTTTTTTAATTTAAGATAAAATTTTCCTTTGCATCGTCTTGATTTCAATATGCAACCGCTACTTCGGAAAAAAAAACTATAACGTTTTACAGTCTAAAAAGAAGAGAAATTGCAGGCAAACGTACCTCCAACGCGTCCACCATGAGATCCTTGAGTTCGTCGAGGCAACGGTTTATCCGCGCCCGCCTCTTCCTTTCCAGGAGCGGTTTCGTTATCTGATTATTAAACACACGTTATATTTTATAATCAATATCAGCTGCTCCGAGCGTTCGCGCATCGATCGGGTTCGGAATTTTTTCCTTCTCGAGCCCGCGCCTCTCTCGGCGCGTGCGTGTTCGCTAGTTCATCACAATGTAAATTGTTAATTTACGAGCGGGCCAATACGCACGGGCGGGAACTGCGGCACTGTCGGCGCGAACGGAACGTAAGCAATAATCGAGCCTCATGTCGTATCGATGCTTTATCGTTTCATCGCCGGCATTAATTCAGAAAAGAAATCCTCGATTTGCATTCTCGCGCGCGAGAATCAAGGCCTCGTTTCATCGCAGCGCCGAGACAGCCTGCGAGCCGAGCTGTGATTTAGCTTCAATTAGCGATCGGTAATTTGTTCCGCGCGTCATTCGTCATCGATCGCGATTTCTTCGATGGTTGAATCGTAAAAAGAAACGAGACGTTTGTAACGTCAGATATCAAGTTGAAGGAAAAGGAATCACTTGCCGATGCCGCCACGACGAGTTCACCAATTACGACGAACATTGGATTATCGATCCATCGATGAATATTGATTGCGAAAAGTGAAATTATCATACTTGTAAATACGTAACATTATTACGCATTAATATATTCTCTCGGCCGTAATTCGTATCGCGAACATTGTAACACAAACTAAATGCCGTTGTTAATTATCAGTTATTGATGCTGCATCAATGTTGCCGCGCAAAACTAATTAATCGTCGTAATTAACTGCATTGATGAACAATCGTTAATTTTGAAAAAGGATTTCTGTGTGTCGTCGGCAATTAATGAACTAGCAACGACTCGTATATGAATTTTAGCTCGGATTGAAAAGTGAGCAGATTGTGCGAACTTATCACACAATCACTCGCAGGTTGTGCACGTAATTTAATATTAAACATTTCACATCGAGCGACATTTAATTACTCGCGACTATATATCTTTATAATTCGCATGCGGTTGTATAAGAAGAAAATATAGTACTTAGCATTCATGCTTAACCATATTGATCATAATACCTTCTTGTATTGGTATGTTCTCGAGACCGGATGAGGATAATCGTACGACATCATTTCAGGTGGGAAAGACATAAATCCAGGAAGAAAACAAGAAACTGTAAAGAAGCAATCGATGTATAATCAATATATAATGGAAATTAATTGAAAGACTTTTGAAAAAGACGGCAAAGAAGAAAAATAATATAATAACGAGAGCAATTAAAGCTTGAACGCGCAGTCATACGTGCATGACAATTTATTATAAATATAAATATTACGAGAGGAATATTGAAAAATACAAATATACGGTAGATGCTTCTTTCTGTTTTTACTAAATATTGCATATCTTCTAAATTGCACATCTTCTCAGTTAGGAATTTCATATTTTTTGCAGACAGTTATGTGAAAATAAATAATGTGATACGTAAATATATTGCTGGTAATTAAGCACAATCATCGGTGAAGCTAAATATAGCTAGTTAAACCGGATGGCTCTCGGTAAAATATATAATGAAAATCAGATGCGGTTTCGCTAGCAGTTAATAAAATTTATTTGATAAATAAAACATGTGTGAGAGCCATTGGCAATATATGCCGGATGATCAATCGGTATGATTTATATAAAGCCATAGATCAAATAAATCCGGACAGATCCAATGAGAGACGGCATTGGAAATTTCAATCATATTTGAACAGAAGTGCAAAATATTTATTTTTAAAATTAATATTTATTTTTAAAATTAATATATTATGACCTTTTCCATCTTAATTTTTTCACAGAGATAAGAATGACTATTTTATACGTTGCAAAAGGAAGGAATTTAACTTTATATATTATTTATATATTTTATTTGTATATTTATAAAATACAACCCCTAAAAAAGAACGTGTATAAATAATATATAAAAAAAAATAATTTAAAACGATGTACCTTTCTATAAAAACTGTCAGCTCCAAAACAGTGATCAATAATTGCAGAGTTCGTCATTTGAAGCGTCGAGGATTGTTAGAAAAACTGGCCGAATCTCCGTTGAATAAACAAAATCGCGCGCGCGATGGTGTGTCGTCCCTGAGGAGTTTTTTTTTTTTTCCGAACAGTCCGATCATATCACGAGAGCGATTTGCCTTACGGCGTCTCGCCGCGACATTTTACATCTCCCGTGTCAAAGTGTAAATGGATAAAATATCGGATAACGCGTGTATACCGACGACACGTCGAGCGGATTGACAGGTCGGGACGGGCTGACATTAGACACGCAGGCGGGTGCACTTGGTGAGGTCTCTACACCAACTGACTCGATGCTCTCCGCTGCCATTCCGGCACAGGCTACCCTCACCCAGCCTACGAACCCTCCGGAGAAGCTACTTTGGATAGGAAGGTCGCTCCAAATGCATCGTTGTGTATGTGTGCTCACACAGAGGCGCGCGCGCAACCGTGCGTATCGATGGGCTGACAAAAACATGAGGGACTGCACACGAGAAAATAATTCAGAGTCAATATATACTTCAGCTTGATACTGCCAAACGATTCCAACAAACTTTCTCCTTTACAGATCCTTTACCGAAGAGCTCCCAGGGAGCTTTTCGCACTTTCCGATTGTCTGGATTATGATGAGAAATTAAATAGGAAAAAGATAAATTCTCTATAATAAGAATAAATAAATTCTGACAAAGATGACAAGGCCAATTCCTTGAAAGCAGGATCTCAAGTGCTAAATATTAATATGAAATAAATTCAAGTAATTAATATCGTCAACCACGTGCGACTATTTTTGGCAGACATCAACCACGCAGCGGCTCTACTATAATCAAATATTTTTGTTGATGTCGATTCAAGATCCTTTTTTTTTAAATAAATTCTTTAATAAAAGATAAAGATAATTACTGTTGGTCATTAACGTGGATTTTTGATTTTATTCGTCCGTCGACTGACAGCTCGCGAATGGAGGCGATTAGTAGTCACTACCTTAGCCACGCCGTACGTACGATAATTAATTCCCTGCGTGGCGAATGGGATTGGATTACCAATTTTACACGCGCGTCCGCGGGCGCGTCGAATTTGTTTGCAAAATATAACGATCGTGCCGAGTTCGCAATGCGCCCGTCGTAACACGAGCCATCGGGTTCAGTGAAAGCAAGCAACGTTCAATCAGAATGCCATTACCACATATCCGTCGATAATGAGGCGGAAACTGCCGTGGCACGTTCGGTCGCTTCTGTAGAACGCGAGATCGTGTTACGTTTCGCCGATGTTTTTCTTCCTCGGTTAGATACTAAGAGCTTGCGGACTGCAAGCTAGACTGGTTTCTAGACAAAACTTGATATCCATTCCCGAACCCGGGTGATAAAAAAGAAACGTGACGAAAGGGTTGTAATTAGGGAAATATCGCGAGAAAAACGTGAGTGCGTAATTGTAGCCCGCATAATTTTGCACAAGTTCTTGTATAATATCGTATATTAAATATTTTTTCTAAAACGTCAGATCGGAGCAATTTCGTGAAACCTCAACCTTGAGCTAATTGTGTAATTATGGAATCTCGATTCTCGAGTATCGCATCAGCTTCGCCGGCAAATCATCTATGCCGATAATAAGAGCCTTTTTTTTTATTAATCACGTATACCGCTAATTAATATAGAGTAGGAACCAAGTCGTAAACCTCGTATATGCGGCAAGAATGTCGTAAGAAATAATACGTGTCCCCGTGATTGCGACGATAGCGTGAATCCAAATGAGCGGTCGGCTCATAATCGCGTCTCGTCGCTCTAAAATTATCGTACACCTAAATTGTAAAGTAGCCCGTCAGCGATTATCTCTTCATTCAGCTCAGCATCAAGCTTGTCTTAATGCGGCTACGGAGACGGCTGGTTTCCTCGCGCAAAAATCGCCGCTCTTAATCGGGATGTAGCGTAACAGGCGAAGAACTGGAATTTAGTCCGTATCGACGATAACTAAATCGAGATTAACACGGCAATATAAGTTTAAGCATTAAGATAGAAATCGTAAGGTATTAAAATGATATGCGCCGATCATGCGGGGATCTCCCGTTTTTTTTTAAAGGGACGATTGACTCCTAAAGAAGAAGTTCCATGCACGTAAGATAAATTATTTAAAAGCGTCGCTTGTGCTATAATACTTCGGTGTACTTGCGACACTTGGTGATCAGCGATTAAGAGTGATATCCCCGTCGATGAGGGTCGATCGCGTTTCGTGCCGCGTGACGTTCCACTTCGTGACGGCGCTGAAAAGACGCCATTGTGAAGGCCTCAAGAGGCACGTCGAGTCCACGAGATTTCGGCTGCCTCACTCGAGATGATAAGCCCGAAAACTCATTAAGATTATCTCTGTGTACTGGAGCTGCCAGATGCTCAAGGAACTGCAGACACGCTGTGTCGATTGCATTTGCACTCGGCGCTTCCCTCTGGAGCTGCCTCATCGCCTCATATCGACGAGGAATTTTTATCGAGATGACCGTCCTCGTCTCCGAAGGCGATTACTTTCACGATGAATGCTAGAAGAGTCTTTTCCTCTGTTACAGATAGACCTTATACTTGACACGTCGAGGTGTGCTCGTGAAAATTTTCAAAGCCATGTGCTCCATTAAAAGTGAAGGGTGAAGATGCCAAAGTGCCTTGATGTATAAGATAGATTTTTCTTCAGTATTTTTCAATACGGTTAATCTAATTGCTAAATTTAATCGAATCAATTGGAATTCGGTAATAATTTATGTACGGATTTTTTTCAAAAATGTACATTCGTTTATCTTTATATATTTTTTAACGACGGACATAAATAGTCATCATCAAAAATCAAAGATTCCTGGTATTTTATTTTATTTTATTCATCGCGCTGTCGCCTATCTTTGTAACCGTAAGGTATACGATCGTACGATCAACCACTCCTTTAACACGGACGGCAGTCCGTGTGTACGGATTATATCCGGTGCTGTCATTCACGAGACGTGCAGACGCGCCCGATTCTTCGGCGTGCTTTCATTGACGCTAACCAACGTATTAAAATCTGACACGAGTCGTAAACATTCGCACGCTTCGGCCCGCGATACGGCGCGAGCGATAACAAGCGGTCTGATAACGACGCGAACGATATTGCACGAGCGGTCTCAACGTCGGGTGACATCAACTAATTATTGTTTTCCTTCCTGGTATTTCAAGCGGCGAACGGCTCGCTCTTTCCTTCTCTCCACCCCTTGGTAGACCGACAGACACACGAGAACTGTGAGACTCGTGCGACGAACACGAAGCGCGATGATCGATGAGAACGGATAAATAAAAACTTCCGCAACGAAATCAAGTAGCTTCCTTGAAAGATATAGTAGTATCATCCGATATAGATTAACTTTTTCTCCGAGGCCGATCTTTCTGCGCCATCTAAAATCTAACAATATTACATCTAGTTATATCTAACATTAAATATTAGATAATAAAATTAAATATTGCGACTTCCCAAAAATGATCTACGTTTCTGAGAAAAATATTTCATCGTCATTTTCAAACTTGAAATAAGTATATATTTCTTCTACATATAAAAGAAAATATGCTAGAGGTTCCACCTATGTAACAGATTAAAACATTATTATAGCTTTTTTTTCTCGAAAAGACGATTACATTTTTATTCAAAAAAATTTGTTTATATCTATATTCCATAAGAACAAACTTTTTACAATAAAGGAAATTTGATGTATTTAGTACACTTTATAAGAGGGCAATATATAAACACTGCAGACTAAACAGGATTTTCCTCAGGAACTGCAACTTCTTCGAAGCCTTGAAAAGAATCAGAGCCCTCGCCTGCACGTGGTAATTATCGCTCTTAAAAATCGGGCAGATACAAATTTCTTTCCCAAGATACTCTCGTCCTTACAAATTTACGAGTGATTACTCGCCGACCGGCGAAATCAGCTTCCTCGATGCCTCGGCCGCGCGTTTCTCAGCACGTTTATTTCCCACGCACGTGATGCAAAATTGTGGTGCACCCCTCTCGCCGTTTACGATTGCCGATCCGCGGCCGCAGTCTTCTTCGCGTGCACGTAAAAAGAGGTAGCTCGGTTTGCCCCCCTTTTTTTAAGTTTATTGCGGTTGATTGGCGAGGCCAAGACCCGGCATGATACTTTCGCGGCACGAACCGTGTAGCGTCGGCGCCCTTTCTCGCACGAGCCCGCAGCCCAGAAATTGGGGCTGCCGATAAAGCGTCAAGACGACGAAAAGGGCGGGAGAAAGGACGAGAGGACGAGGCGTTTTGGAGAAAGTACGTTCAACAAGTACGAAACGCCCGAGAACATGCGGGTACGTTTGCGATAGCCAAGACTGAATCCTCAGCTGGGCAAAGTCGTTGTGAAAGCCGGTCAAAAGGCTAAAACCGCCGTACATTACGTACAAGAGAACGAGATGTTTGATTGGATAAGAAGTGTCGAGAGATCCAGGAACGACAAGGCGAAAGTCGGCCAGGAAAAAGAAGAAGCGTGTGCCAAATGCTATTTCGAAATTCACAGGCTTTACTGTCAGTTGTATTTTAATAACAAAAATACATACATCTTAATTATTTTGACAGATCGAACAGAAAAATTTAGTAAATTAAATAAATAAAATTAAATTGAATTAAATTCAATTTTTATAATTTTTATCTTTTGTTTTATGCACAGTTAATTTTCCAAAACATGTAGAAATTTTAAACAAATCGTCGTAATACACTTTCTTTCTTCTTTCCTTTGATCCTGCTATTTCATTTAAGTGTTTCTGTTTCATAACAAATCTACCTAATCGCAAATATTTTCAAACACCTCGCTCCATTGTATTTCCCATAAAGCCATATGAAGCTACGAGGAATCAATGCCTACGTGCACGCGATCGCAGCCTAGAAGATGGCAACACGCTAAAAAGCCGCGAACGCATCGTGATGAAAAACAGGGGAAAAAAGCGCGAAGTCACCACGAGTGGAGCTTGTCGCGGTAGCGACCGAAGCTTGGAGAAAAAGGAATGGAAATACGAGAAGAAGACCAACGGCAGAACGCGGCGGTAACGCGGCAGCAAAAGAGGAGGAGGCGGAGGAGGAGAAGGAGGAGGAGGAGGAGGAGGAGGAGGAGGAGGAGGAGGAGGAGGAGGAGGAGGAGGAGGAGGAGGAGGAGGAGGAGGAGGAGGAGGAGGAGGAAGAAGAAGA